GCGCCTTTCCTTTATGAATATAGGACATAAAGTGTACAACCACACGGCTGCCCTGCTCACTGTCCACATGAAATGTATGTGTTAAAATATGTGCTGAACACAAACCACCCAGAAAAATGACCCCAGGAGTATGACCTTTAGCACCTCCACCCGCAGCTGACGAGAAACATTGGCAAGTTTGTCACCTAGGCTTTTGTCATCCAAATATAAATTAGATCCATTTCTGGCCAGAAAACTTCAGCTATTACGTGCTCCACTACGATGAGTTGCTTGGCTGGTTTTACAAGCTAAAGAAGGTGCATAGTTTTGTGTGTTTCTTCTCAACTCTTTCCACATGTAATTCTCCATGTAGTTAGTGCCTTTTGGTGGAGAAGGAAGGATCCTGGGTCCCCTTCACTTTGGACACGGGGAGGGACTTGAGGGGAGGGAGGTATGGAGGAGGCATGTGGAATGTGGATGGCACTGAAGGGTGAGGCTGTGCCTTTGAACAGCAAACCTCTGAATCAGGTGAAGAGAGAAGGGAAGGTGCCCACTTATAGCCCAGGAGCTAATGCAGGGTGGCTCGATTTCTTAGGAGATCTCAGACAGTGATCTCAAAACATAGGATGATATATATTTTTGTGGCCCTAATTTAAAAATTGGCATAAAAATATTCAGGAGCATTTATCCACAAATCCAGTTTGGTTGTCTGCTACTAGCCTAAAACCTGAGGATTTTGTAATACTGGGCCCTCATTGCAAATGAGGGGAAATTCCCTGGTGTAGGTAACACAGCATGCACCCCAGAGTTCTGGCACATACATATATACATGATTGGCTTCAATTATTTATGTTACTCACAAGCTCCAAAATCTATTTGAGTTTGCCAGCCCTGGATTTGAAGCTACGAAGCCCTTAAGTAGAATCAGATCCCTGATGGGGAAGACATGCTGAAACCCCAGTTGAGGGGAACAGAAACATGTATATTATCAGCTTGAAATATAGCTAACATTAAGTAGCATTAGGAGTATCTTCTTCAGTCCTCATAAACCCATTTTACAGATGAGAAAACAGATATAAAGAGGTTATTTTGTACTTAGGTTGCATTTTATTCAAAGTATGCTGTGTTCAAGACCATTCATAATTCAAAACAAATCCTTACAAAAATTGGCTGGTATTTCTGCATAGCAGTTAGATGGGTGTTAGCATTTGGCAGTGGACCAAAGCACCAGTTTAAAGGTCACTCAGCCAGCCAGCTTTGAAATTATGCTATGTTTTGACACATTTTAAAAAATGGATTCCCATTTATTACAAATTTTGCAAATAAAGTGAGATTGATTAATAATTTCAATTTGCTGATCTAAAATTTATGTAAAATGCCACTTTACTATAACTTTTTCAAGATCACATCATACTACTGAATCTGACTCCAATGTCATGAGTGACGTAAAATACATTTCTATAAAACTCTGTGTTGTTGATTGGTATTAGAGAAGTAGTGAGCCTAACTGGAGGCTGGGGTGGAGAAGATACACCCTCTTGCTACTCGGGGGTCTAAAATGATCATCAGTGCTGAATGGACAGTGGAGGTCACCGATGCCAATTTTTTGAAATGGCTTTTTCGTGCAATCAAGCTGTAGTTGGTTTCAATCAAGAACACTCTAGGCATTGGAATGGAAATCCTGGACTTGCATTTTTCAACTTTACCTTTGGGATTGATGAGATCTATTTTTTTATGAAGTCAGCTTACCGATAACCCTAATAGAACAACTGTTTTCTTTTCCGCTTGTAGCATTTGGGGAGCACATTTTGTTACTTGTATTTGGCTGTTCAAGTTTATATATATGTGTACATCTTCAAAGAATACATACACATTTCCTGCCTGAACGTGGCCGCCTCAGTGTCTAGAGTACATTTCTTTGGTCTGGAGCCAGCCTGGGAGCCAGGGAGGGATTCATCCCTCGGCTCATTTTCCTTTGGCTACAGAGCTGTGGAGAGGCCTCCGAGGATGGTGGGAGGGGGTCCACACTGGGGTCAGAGGAAGGAATGGTGAATGCATAAGGGGACATGTGGATTTATGCGCACATCCAACAATAGAACTGTAAGACTATGTTGTATACGCTTTTGTAGATTACACTGACGTTTCAAATATTAATCCAGTCAGGAAGTTTTGGCAAATACAAAGTCTTTAATAAATGAGACATCTTCCTGATCTGTGTCAGTGTCATTGCTTGGCCTATTTGTCACATTATAATTAAAGTGTTTTGGCCCTGTTGTTCTGAAGCACTCTCCCCCTTTATACAACCTAAATCCCTTTCAGGGCTTGATGAGGTTTAGATAGCAACTCAATTGACCCAATCAGTTTCCAGGGTTTGTTCCTTGCCTCGTGCACAAATTGGCACAGAAATGAGTGACTCGTTAATGTCGTGATCCTTGCTTCTGAGCACGTGCTAAGCCTCCTTGTTTTATAATGTGCCAAAGACCAGCAAATAGCTGGGAATGTGCCCAAGCCAAGACCCATGTCCTATGGCTATTGTCCAGAAAACACTGATAAAATTGACGGTATGGAGTTTCAACAGGCCCACTGAGGCCCACAGTGATTTCCTTGCATTGTTTCTAACTTGATGCAGTGGCTTCAGGAACCAGGAGAAAGGGTGAAGATTCACTCTGGCCAGAGAAATCCTCTCTGTTCCTCTCCTTTGAGCAATCAGATACTTTGCTGACACTTAGAGGTTTTGTCCAACTGGTAAGTCCCCTGGAATGTGCTAGCTCTTTCTCTGTGTGCGTTTTACAGGTGCAGAAATTTGTAAAGGATGTACTTCTGTGAGTTAATATTTATTTTTTCAATATTTGAATCTAAGCTGAGCCCTGTGCAGATGTGCACTTCATAATGCTCCGAAGGACTCCCTCTTGCTTTTTGGGGTGTTGATGCTTAGATCGAGTCTTAGATCTTGGACTGTCAGAGGCCATGTAACCCAAGCTCTTCTTTATAGAAAAGAAACCAAGCCTGGGATCACATGATTAGTTGCATCCAGTGTGAATTAGATGGCGGGCATCCAGACCACTGACCTCTTCCCTAGAGTTGAGCTGTTCGAGAATCTAAGTTGATGTAGTATTGATGGCGTGCTTTTTCTTTTCAGGGCTTCACAGCGGGGAGAGGCTGAGGTGGTAGGGAATCCAGCCTATAATTATTTGTGGTTTAAATGACTTTCCTTATTGGCTCAGGGGTGTCCCTTATAATCCTAATAGCTGCTTCCAGGGATGGGTAATTCCCTAGTCAGTATGGGTGACTTCATTTATCTTTTCTTCCCTTGCTAGGCCCATTGTTTCTGTTTGCTACCGGTCACCTTTCCCCAAGCCATTCTTTGCTTGGTGGTACCATCATTTGTTAAATCTTGATTGCAGTAGCCTCAAAATTCCACCTTCCATTCTGAACACCTTTCCATTCTGAAAGATGTTCAAGCTAACAGCCTAACTTTACCCCTAAGGTGACATTGCATTGACATTTTAGATGTTCAAAGGGCAGGGTATGGGGATTGCTAGCTGCATAGGGATATAAAGTTTGATAGATATAGTGATTTAAGCTTTAAGATCACTGTAAAGCCAGGTTACCATTCAGCCTTGTTATTGTTCTAGAGGTATGGTTTTTTATGAAGTCAGTATGCAATGTGCGTGAAGCCTTTGAAGCTACCTGCCCAGTTCATGTCTTTATGTTACCACCAGGAGTGACTTGACACCCATAGCATTGAATTTGATTCATTGCGCTACACTAGTGCATTAGTTTGGGCCTCTACCCAACCGATTATTTTACTAACAGAACAATCCTGCCATTTAGAAGAGAACGTAGGAACTGGATTGCTACGTGCGTGTTGGAAGATAGGTTTTTAAAATAACAGAAGTCTATAATGATCTAGGTAGAATGCAAACATACTCTTTAGAGGAAAGGGTCATTTACTAATTCATTCATTTATTTATATCAGATTTTAAACAGACACCTTTTATGTGTCAGGCAGTGCTCTAGGCACTAAGAATGCATCAGTGACCAAAACAGGAAAAATATCCCTTCCCTCATCTTATGTTGCCAGTTCCAGGATCTTCTCTGCATATATCTCAACTCTATAAAAGTGTCTTAGAAATATGGCAGTGTCCATGAAAAGAACTAGCTTTTTGCACTTTGCCTATGCTTTTCTGTTCCTTGCTATAATTTCTCCATGGGACAATTAGAGGTTTGTTAGCCTCTTAATATAAATTCTCAGTAGAATGTCTAGTAACTTACTAGTAACTGTCAGTAGAATTTTTGTGTGGCTGTTGGCATTGTTCCCATGCTTGGTTGCTATGGGGAGCACCTGGCAAAAAGAAAAGAACTTCAGGCTATCATCTGATTTGATCACTTTCAGTAGGAAGAAGACAATTGAGAAACATAAGATGTGTCCGTGGCTTTTCCTATGGACCAGGCCTGACTGGTTCTCTGCTGACAAGTGAGGACACTGGCTCCCCATGGACCTGCCCTCTTCCCGCTTTCCTAAGCATTTTATTGAGTCAGCCTGACCTTTGCCTTCTTGGAGATTGGGTTCTGCCTCTTTGTAGGTGCAAATATGTTGCTCGCTAGTTCTAAGACAGCGGGTAATTCTGTGATTCAGGGGCACTTGTGAAACAGGAATTCCGTACCTCGTGATTCTGATTTTGTGGGTCTAGGGTGGGAACCCAGAACCTGCTATTTTAAAAAGGATTGAAGAAAAGCGGGCACCCTAATGAGATGAATATTGGTTACTGTCTAAAATGTTCTACAACCATGGGAATATTGTTCAAACACTTTCTACTGGGCAGAGCGGTAGGTATGACTTGGCCGTTAAATCTTGGATGTTGAAGAGTCCAAATCTGTGTACTGTACATGCATTGAGAAGCCAGCAGCTGCCTGTAAATGTTACGTAGCACCCAAAGAGACTATACTGCTCAGCTGTTCACGAGTGGGAGAAGATTGTCTCAGCTTTGTTAACCGTCTTTCTCGGGATTTCTTCGTAGGCAATGGTGGCTTGCTACCCGGGAAATGGAACAGGTTATGTTCGACATGTAGACAACCCCAACGGTGACGGCCGCTGCATCACCTGCATCTACTATCTGAACAAGAATTGGGATTCCAAGGTACTTTGGAATGATGGGAGTCAAGTGTGGGGTTAGAAACTAAAGGAAGAGAAGCCAGGTGACTTAAAGGAGAGTCTGGAGTTCGTAATTCCCACTGATGAATCTTTTCTATTTCATATATCCCCCCCCTCCCCCCGCTATGGTATTAGTGCTAAAGTTGATGAGATGAAAACAATGGATATGAAGTTAATTTGATGGGGGTAGGTGGGGTCATTATTAGGATATGGCAGGAGCGGTTGATGAAGAGAAGGTGATTTGTTATTTTAGGGGTTGACTTTTTTAGTGTGATCCAGAGCTGCTATGACTCTCAGTGCAGAATAAGATATAAGATATACACCTTTCCCTTCCAGCATAACATGGAGAGAATTCCACAAAAATAGAACCATAGGATATAAAACCATCCCCGAGTGAGGTTTCCCACACAGCCCTCTCTCTTGGGGTGATATATCTCATTGGTGGCTGCCTGCCATGGCTTACTATGGTTTCTGAATGCCAAAGGCTTTATGGTTTATTTTTATATTTCTGAACGTATAGATAGATAGAGATATGAAGTCTGGTTCCACACTTACAAACATTTGTCTGGAATCTGTATGCTTTCTGAAATTTAAGGATGATGTAGGAGTCTGAGAAGTCAGAACTCTGCAAGCTTATTTGGCTTTTGAACCTTCTGCATCTCCATTTCCTGTTCATTAGGGCAGATGCTGGCTGCCATTGGGCTGGGGTGCTTTATCTGGGGTCAGGGAAACTAAACCTGGGAAACCAGTGTGTCAGTGGCTAGGCTCGTGTCTTCTCCCTATTTGGTAACATGACTAGAATTTATCCCTTAGTTGTTCTTTAAAAACTTGAAAGGTGGTGTTATAGGCAAGCGAGTAAAGTTGTCAGGTCAGTGATAATACATTGCAAAATGTGAAATCATTCAACAAATAGTTGAGTGCCTGCTAGTGCCAGGCATTGTGCTGTGGGGAAACACTGATGTGTGAGGCCTGAATTCTATCCTGCTGTGGTTATGCTAGTAGGACAGATTGGGCGTACACGTAAAATGAAAAAGAAATTCAATGAAAAGAGAGGTACGTGTAATAAAAGGTACAGATAAGGCTGTCTGAGAGTTCAGAAAAAAGAGCATCTCACTTCCAACTCACAAGGTCACACAGGAGTTAGTGGGGTTCAGAGGAAAGCTGTAAATTCTAACTGAAGGGGAATAATCATCATATGGGATGATTAGCCTAAGAAACTGTTAGTATTAGATTGAATCATGAAATTGCTGGGGGTTTTTGTAGGTCAAAATCTGTCGAATATTGGTGATTCTGTGTGATTGGACCTGATAGAGCTCCATTTCGTGTCCATGGGCTTCATGGTCGTGGGGGTGGGGAGGCTTCCTTTAGCATGAGGTGAATTAGGAAGTAGTCTAGCCAAGTTTGAAATAGAATTTAATACAAAGTATGAAGCTGAAGTAAAAATTTGGTAGTAATATGTGCTTGGAGCGGAGGTTGGAGGATGGCTTTGTTTTTAGACAAGTCTTGAATATCATTGCTGATTAACTGTGTGAGGCCATTAACCAACCTGCCTTCTCTGTGGCCCTCAGCTGCACGGCGGGGTGCTGCGGATATTTCCAGAAGGGAAATCGTTTGTGGCGGATGTGGAGCCCATTTTTGACAGACTCTTGTTCTTCTGGTCGGACCGCAGGAACCCGCATGAGGTGCAGCCTTCCTATGCAACCAGGTACCAGCCAGGGCCGCGACTCCTCAGAGAATTCCCTAAGCTTGTGTCCTGTGCCTCGGAGGGAGTAACCACACTCGAGCTGATAGCAAACCTGTTTGGAGTCCATTTTCATTTTTCTTAGAGAAGTTTTGGCTTCTTTAGCATACGAACACTAACATCAGTTTGAACTATTTGCAGATTGTTTCGCATTAGGTGAGCCTATTGGATTCTGCATTTCCCAGAGTTTCCCTCTTCCCTCCCTCCTTCCTCCCCCTCCTTTCACACACCTAATGTTGAGGGACCCCCCAAGAAGGTTGGCTGTTACACACCAGGAGCTCTGGCTGGTCAGCTCCGGGGGAGCTTATGGTCGCCAGTTGAAAGCAGAGAAAGAATCTTGAGAAAAAGAAGAGGAATTGTTTAGGCTTTTATTGTTCTTTCCCTTTCCTTAGCATAAAATTGGTTTGGGCTCACTCTACTGACCATATCCCAGCAATTGGATTTAAAAGAATCCTGTCCTTAGATCATCCATGGGAAGATTTCCAGAGTAACTGAACAACTTAGTGTTGTTTAGTATTAATCTAGAAATGCTTGATGATAATCTTAATTTTGGGTTCTGCCTTTTATTTGCCGTTGTTTTATGGCCAGAGTTGGAAACCAGGTAGTACTGGAGTGCTGTGGGGTGCAGCCTGAATTGGGAGTAGCAACTGGGGGCAAGGGGTGAGAACACGGGTAGAAGGATATTGACTAACCCTTAACAAGCCTAATTAAATTAAATTCATTGAATTAAATTCACACGTGTAAAGTTCTTAAGATTTATGTGTCCCCCTCCAGAAATCACAGATCTGAGCCCCACACAGAGCCACATATTAAATGTCAAATTGGAATGTGCCCCAGGTGAGCAGGTAACTAATTCTACCACCAAAGCCTGCTCGTGGCTTGTTTAATGGGGTACAATAATTGGACCCTGTCGTTTGTGCCAGAATTCCTTCGTTATTCCACAGTTCCTTGATGGCCGGAGTCACAGGAAACATTAGTGAATGTTGATGGGATGCCCTGGAAAAAAATCAAGTGCTATAGAAATTTGAGTAGCTAATAATAGTTATAAAATGAAACTTCGAAAACTCATGCATGAAATGATTCCTATTCCAGTCTAGCCCATAGATGGGATAAAGCTGATTAATGAGAGCACAGTAGAAAGCTTGAGGGCATCATTATTCCGTTGCATCTTTGCCTCGGTGTCCAAAACTAAAGAAAGCAAGCCAAGAGTTTCAGGTGTCCTGTCATTTAAATAAGCTATTCTTCAAAGCATCACCTCCCCTTCTCTGTGCTCTCCCCACCAAGTTGGGTCTCCCAGTCTTTAGCAGAATGATTCCCTTCTAGTCCTTTCTGTGTAGATCGTTACACAGCCGTTACATTATTTGTTAAATTGCCTGTCTCCCCCGCTAGAGGCTGAGCCCCTTGAGGAAAAGGCAGATATTCACATGATTATCTGAACTGCCATTGCCCACATTAATGCCTGGTACATACTTGGAATTCCATACATGTTTTATTACATTTAAATAGAATTGAAACCAGAGAAGTTTATTTTAAATTAAAATTGGTATGGACTTCTAATAATAGGGAAAACTTTAAATGCTGGCTTTACAAATGACTCTGAAGGGAGATTTGTAGTATGAATTTTTTATTTTTTGGTAGTATTTTTAAACCTCTTTTCTTATATTGCTTATCTTTCACAGATACGCCATGACTGTTTGGTACTTTGATGCTGATGAAAGAGCAGAAGCCAAAAAGAAGTTCAGAAACTTAACTAGTATGTGTTTGATAATTTTCTGTGACTTTTGATCAAGTCAATCCCTGACTTTTATTCAATATTTTAAAAATTATTCTCATCTACTCTATTCATTCTCAGCTATGGCTTAGCTTCATATATAATGACATCTTGATGGGCTTAATCCTGAAACCTTAGCCTTAGCTCTGCTGGGAAAATCAGAAAAATGCAAAGGACATCCTTTGTGAATGCCCACTGATTGCATGAGAGTTTATAATGGATAGAAATTGTTAAGTTTTTATTATTAATATTCACCCATCCAACATAACATTAAATGTTGCCCATGATTTTGGTTTGTAAAGGAAACACAATGGAACCCAGCTAGGACAGTTAATTTATTATATTGGTGTGAGACTGTCACTCCCAACATAAAAACTGGGCTCATATAATATAAACTGAATATGACTTAATAACACCCCTGTCCCCTCCAGCTAGTATTGTAAAGCAGCATTTTCCAAAACATGTTGCCAGTGTGGTTTAAGAGAAGGTAAATTCCTGTCCCTCAAAATATGGGAAACATTACATACTGTATCCCTTTCTTGAAGAATCACAATGCTCGTTGGCATATTAACCAAGAAAAATTAATCTTAAGAAATCCTGCAGTTTTCTTACATATGTAACATTGCCTAACTCGTGACCCATTTGGATTATAGGCCTATCAAACACCTAAGAAAAAAACATTTTGCTAAGTCCTATCAGGAGGCACTCTGTTCAGTTTTGTTCCATAAAATGGGAAGTATTTACTAGAGGCTTTTTGGATGACATTTGTGATATTAAACTCATCAGATCTGGCTCCTTACCCTCTTCATTTTCTTTTCTGTCCCCAATCCAGGGAAAACAGAGCCTGCCCTCACTGAAGACTGACGGTGCTCCAAAATCCGCTGGCCTCATTCATTTTCGCAACAGTCCCTGCATTCTCTTTAAGAGTTGCAACCCAGAGAAGGCCACTTCGGTGAATTGGTGACGCGCCACCCCCCTGCTGCTTGCTTCGTTCACATCCCTGTCTTGCGAATGGTACTTTGTGTTTTCTTGCCAAGACTGCATCCACCTTCAGACACTTTTCTTTGCCAGATGAACTCATTATCTAACTCCGAAAATCCCTGCAGACCACCCCTCCGGCCAGCGGTTTAACTGCTAGATTTGTTAATACTGTTTATCAAAATGAGAGCCCAGAAGCGTGGGCGAGGTAGTAAATCTTATTTGCACTTTATGTACACTTCCTGATTTGAAAGGAGGCGGCTTACAAAGAAGAAACAGTGGTGACAGGTGCCACAGAGAGGCGTCACTGAAACCTTGACAGCAAGAAACAGGAATCTGTGTCATCTGAACAATTTCCAGATGTTTTTAATCCAGGGCTGTTGGAGTTTCTGGAGAATTATCACAACCCAGTGACATTCTTACCTCTAGAAAGGGCTGCTGTCACAGTCATCCATTTATAAGTGTCCTGTGGGTAGACACTCCTTTTTCCTGGTCCTTTAACCTGGACTTTTGGCCTCTGCCCCATTTTACTGAGCATATGACTTTCTGATCAAAAATAACAACACCATTTATTTTCTGTTTTTACTTCTTACTTGGGGAACCTAGTTCCTCAGAGGCAAAAACTAGACATTAACTGTTTGGTTGCTTTGTTTTAATGGAATTTGAATTTAAAGCAAAGGGAAAAAAGTTTACCTGTTAGTTTAGAGTTGGCAACCTCGGATACTGGTGTGGAAAGACCTGAGTGTTCCCATATACAACAAACATGTGTGCGTCCTGAACATTTTGAGAGAGAAATGGAGTTGGAAATGTGGACATTCTCATTTTTCTGTTTTCCTTCTTTAACAAAATAAGAAAATAATTTTAAAAAATAGGGTGCTGTATTTAAAAAAGGAAATGAAAATAAAGCAAAAAATCCTGAGAAGCTGTTTGAGTTCTTTCATGTTTTCTGTCCTGAGTTGCCTTTTTGAACAGAATTGACTCTCCGGATCCACAGTAGTTGGCAGTGGGGCCAGAATCATGGAATTTGCTAGAACTGTGAAGGCCTCTACTGCTACAGTAAGCACAGATTCCTCACAAACTCTGTATGAGTGCCTGCTTTATGAAAGTTACTCTTCCTACTTTCCAATTCCATTTTCATATTTTTTAAATCCCTTGATTACTTCTTTGAAAATCCCATGAACTTTAAAGAGCCAGGAATATTTTCTTTGGTCATTTATAGACTTTGCAAGAAAGAAGCTTATTTTTTCCTTTTCTGGTTTTAGGAAATTTCTAGCAAAGATACGTCTTCTTTCTCATAACTGCTCTTTTTTTTTTTTTAAATAGTACTTATCACCTTCTAACTTATTGTTTAATTTTCTTATTTATGTGTTTATTATCTTGTATCTTCTAGAGTGTAAACACAAAAAAGACAGGGATTTTTGTATGTTTTTAATCAATGGGATGTATTCCCAGCACCTAAAATAGTGCCTGACACACAGTAAGGGCTCAGTGAATACTTTTGAATAAACTCGCTCTCCTACCATGGCATGTGTCAATGGTTTGATTAATTTCCTTCATCTTTGGCAGGAAGGACTGGCTAGAATTTTTGTACACACGTCTCTCATTGTGGGCTTATAAATTTAGGCTAAGAGTTTTAGAAAGCTTTGGTCATCGTGTCATTTCATATTTGCTTACCAGTTTGAACAGGTCATTGACCACTATGAACCTGAAAGTTGAACAGAGAATTCTGCCCTTTGGTATCCTGGGACTGCAGGAGTAACTTACATGAATAGATTCAGACAGGGCAAAGCACATTCCTCCTTCGGAACAATTTTGAAAAACGTCATTAAGAGAGAGAAAAAGAAGGCTGTTTCTTAGGAATTTATATTCTATAAAATTGTAACTAAGATTTTTTCCCATGATTACTAATGTCATGAGAATGACAGTGAGAATATTCTGAAGGAATATCATGTTCCAGTATATGTCTTGTATCTTTCATTTTGGTCAATATTTTGACTTGCGAAAATGTCGGACCTCTTAGGCCTTGCTTACTCCTTCCAAACAAAGGTCTGATAAACTAATAAACTATATATCAAATCAACTTTTAATGCACTGATTTTTTTCATGGCTGAATTTGAGTTCTGGAAGATTAACCTGGAAAATACAACTATAATAGTGTCTGCTATTTAGCTTCCCTCTTTGACAGCCCACTTAGGAGAGGACTTAGCCTTGTTAAAGCTATATTATTTGGCAAATAATCTAATCAATTTCCTTTATATTCCTGGCAATGAAATATTAAGAGCCTACCTCAGTGTTACATCACCTATATAGTGCAGAGTCCTTGGCAGGAGATTAAATTTTGAACCAAAGATCCAATTTCGTGGAAATAAGAGGTCTTACCTAAGTGCATTAAATAGATCCTCAGTAGAGTAGTTAATACCAATTAAATGCTAGGCTGTCTGAATCACGAATTATCCATTCAGACATGATTTTGTTTTTTACTTCTTTGACTCAGGTTTTTTAGAGACTGGGTCATCCTAATTTATTTTGGCCATTCAGTCTTCAAATTTCCTGTGTTTCAGAAAGCAATGAAGAGAAATGCCATGCTGGGTCAGCAGTTTGTGTAAAATAGGATTCTGGACATGTCAGGTACTTTTATATTTGATAACTATGAGGACAAGCACAAGGGATGTTCTTGGTAAAGTTATTTCAAATGAAAAGAGTACAAAATTGACTTCGCTTCAGTCTTGAATCTTTTGAATGGCATGACAAGAATACTGATTAGCTAGGTGGTTAGAGATAGTTGTCAAAACAGTGGAAATAAATAGTTCTTTTCAAAATGAAGCTGGCTAGAGTTGAAGTCTGTTGGATAATATACGCTGCCTTATATTAAAGACCCAATCTACTGTCCAAATGTGATTTTTTAAAATATGCTGCTGTTGCACCACGTCGATAGGTTAGGCCCTTTGAGAGGCTGAATTTACCATGGCCTATCTCCTTTACATTTGCAAGGTCAAGTTCAGCAGCTAAGGAGTCATGATGTAAAACAATTGGTAAGATGACGTTTAAGTACTCAGAGAATACCTCTATGCCATGCGTGCTCTCACATTTATTCTTTGCAGCCTCTGAGACAGCTCGTCCACTTTACAGATAAGGAACTGTACTCTGAGTGGTTAGGTGGCTTGTCAGAGGTTACACGGGGATCAGGTAACACACCAGGATTTGACTTAAGACTTCCAACTCCTCCTTATTGTCTTTGGTGTCTCCTACCCGCAGAGGAGATGCCAAACAAAAGAATAGGAATGAGTGGAATTGGGGGAGAGGGAGCATTAAATAAATGCTTGCTAGTTCATATTTTTATATAATGTTTTCATTATCAACAAGGGTCTCATGCCCAACATCCTAAAGGAATGTCAGTTTTTCAACATAAACCATATGAGCAGAAAACACCAAGTTCACCTGTGAATTCTCTCTTGACTTTGCAATGGGATCTTTCCTGCCTGCAGAACAGGACTGTGGAGGAACTTTGGGTATATGTCCCACATTGGCCTCTTGGGCTAATGCTGGGCATGAGCTGTGTGGGGTGTGCTGTCACCAGTTTGACAGAGTTAAGCAGTGTGGGCCACCTGGAAGTGAAAACAGATTTGGATTTCCTGGGTGCAGTTCGGAGACCTGCCAGCAGGCCACAGTGCATTAGGACAGTTAGACAGTGCATAGCCTGTTGTTGTATCATTGGTGGAAGTGGGGTCTTCCTTTCCTCACTGAGTACTGGGGGTGGGGTCCTTACAATATCTCGAGAAAAAGAATTTTCTGAGACTCGCACAGGAGGATGAGCGATTTTTATTTGTGTGGACTTACATCCCTGGGTTTCCAAAATCCCATTTGTTTTAATCCAGTCCTGGAAAAAGTGCAGCCGGGGATTCAGTAGAGCTAGAAGCAAAGCCAGTGTCCAGAGTTTCCGTTCCATGTTGGAACTGGGTCCGGTTTAGCATTAGGCTAGTTGCAACCCATTAGTCCATTGTGTGTGGGATCCACGTGGCTGTGAGCCGTGCGGGCGAATGCACGCGAGCGAGCTCCTTTGTTTAGAAGCTTAAGTATCTCAAATCTTCCTGAGCTTGCAGTGGCCACGTCTACTCTGGCCAATGCCCAGTGCCCAGGTGTGACTGATAAGTATCTTCTCTATTCCATCCAGGCTTTACTGGGCATGTGTCTCTTCTCCCCTTGTCTAGCCCTTTCCCCCAGTGATCGTGGCCAATAGACCTGTGGCCCCCTGGGGAGTGTTAAAGCTGCCCAAAGGACAGGCCTACAATATTTGGCCTTCCCTTTGTTCCTTTCCTGTTATTAATAACTAGGTTAATTACAATGGTATCAGATGCAGTCCGAGGAAAGGAAAGGAAACATTTCTTGATACACCTAACATTCCAGTTTGGGCTTGAGGTAGAGCTGAGATGTCAGTGGAGCTCTGTTACTGACAAATGAAAATACCTGATAAATGGAAACTAAGGGAAGAGACTGAGGAAGGTCCTGTCATCTCAGGGAATACTTTCATCACCTCTGAGTGATGTTTAGTGGAGATTTACAAACATTTTTAATTCTCAAAAGCACTTGGGTGATCTCTACCTAATCTTTTTAAGGTGGTGTGTAGAAGGATGTCACTTTAATTTCTTTAAAAAAAGCAGTGTTTTTGCTTAAATACTACGAAAGACTGAGAGTTGAAAAAGCACCAGATTTCTTTCTTGAATCCTGTTTGTTTGACCTTTGATAAACTTAGCACTTAGAAAAGTCAGCTTTTAGTTTTCTGCTCATGCTCCTGAGTGCTGAGGTTTTTCAGAAAATTTATAAAGACCATTTTGTGATTCATTTTTTAAAGTTAGAGACACATCTCAGAACTGTTGTGTTTTATTGTCACAATTATGCATATGAATTTAAGGAGCAGTTGTGGAGAGAAATCCATTATTTTAGGAGCAGATAAACACTGGGTCATTAAAAATTAATTTAACAAATAGTCTTTGTTTTGTGCCTACTTAGGGGAAATGGCATATCCCTTCCCTTATGGTGGATGCCCGGCAGATGTAGATGTAAAAGGTGACTTGGGACTGAGGAATGGAAGGAGCATTTCATTTATCATTCCTGAGCTTCCAGGGAAACGAGTTAAAACAGGGTCTGGGTGTGGTGGGCCTGTTTTGAAGAGAGCTTTGGGAGCAGCCCAAACTCAGGTCAGATCTCAGAAAAGCTGTTG